GAATCTTGATGTTGTCTCATTTCAATCAATCAATCAATCAATCAATCTTGATTCCTTCCCCTCTGACAAGTGGAAACAAGTGCAAAGCTTGTTTCCACTAATGACATGTGACATTATTTCCTGCTATCATTTGGGATGATTTGTATATGTTGTATTTTAAATCTCACTGAGGCCGACTGTAGCAGTTGAGTGTGGAATAATGAGTCATTCTAACCACTAAGCTACCTATCAAATGATATGGATAAATTTTAGCTGTTTCTGTTGTTTTACCTCTTGCAGTTTATCATAGTTTTCTTCTAGGCTGTCAGATAGATGAAATCTTATTTTATTTTATTTTCTTAGTATAAGTAATTTGTTGAATCAGGTTGTTTCGTGTCCTAATAATGGCAAACTACATAGTTACTAGGGACAAAGCTTATTCAATGGCAGCACATAGATAATTCTCGAGGCAAGGCAGGCCATATAATGAACATTTGAAATTAAGACAGACGTCCCCCAAAAGTTACATATTGTCATAGTTCCAAGTAATGTGTCAATTCTGAAGTGAATTGACACATTACTTGGCTGAAGCCATCTTTTGCTGCCTCATAGTTACCACGAACTCTGAAAGGAAAAAAAGGAGGGAGAAGTAGAAACTTGATTCTTGTAGGAACCAAGGTCATCCTAACAGTTGGCAGTTGAAGGAAGAGAGGCATGACCAAGCAACCTGCCAGCTACTTAAATTGGACAATATGACTGGTAACATCTGGGGAGGGAACCATTTGCTCTTTTAATTAGGCTAAAACTGTGGGAACTTTTAGAGTTGGTTTTCATTGGCTGTGCCAATATGATGTATCCAATAAGCATGTTCTTTGAAGAATCTACCTGCCTTGGAGTTCTGCTTTTGGCAGTTGCATTACTCAGATCACTGACATAATGCTTCCAATCAATTCAAGACTCTGAAGCTTCATCAAAAATCCTGTTTATTGGATCCATCATATCATCACAGACAGAGGTGAAATCAACACTGAATAATTCCCGTGTTTTTGGTATAATTAAAGAATAGATACTGTCCACCCTCCTTGTGTTACAGGTCACGTTAGCCAACCAAGCAGGTGATGAACTTCTCAGCACTCCATCCTGCTGCTGCTAGGGCACTCTGATTTGGCCTTGGTTCTCAGGAACCTTACGTTATTATGTCTGGCACATTGGAGGAAAACATTCTATATTCCATAAATTCCCCCTCTCCCCCGTAAGTATGGCAACTAAGAAACAAAGCAAGAAAAATATGGCTTCAGCCAGAGTCATTTTGAGAGTTGACACGTATGACCCCACTTCAAAGTTATGGCTGCAGCAGCTCCGTGGTCTTTTGCCCTTATAACCCACCACAGGGTTGCTGAAGCACCATCCTGCCTGTCTTCCACCATCCCATCCCACCCTACCAGAACCCTGCAGCGCTTGTGCCTCCTCCCCACATGCCAATCACATAGTCATAGGCATAGTCACCATCTGAAGCTCTCCGGACCTCATGTTTTAGAAGGAAGGCAGTCCATATGTCTCCGTGGCCATGTGGCAGCTATCCAAAGGCAGCCATCATTTTGACCTGCTTGGTTGTGGGCAGGACAAAATGGCGCGCCCCCAGAGAAATTGGTTTATTTTGTTACCTTAGAGAGATCTGCACAGCACTGCAGAACCTTCTGAACGCTGGAGAAAGCTTCTGCAGCACTGTTCAAACCTTGGTAAGGCAGAAAAATGATGCAGTTTGTTCCCAGCCCATGCAGCAGTGACTCGAATGTGGTTACCCTTTTGTGGGCAGGACAAAATGGCAGCCACTTTTGAAGCTGTGCCATGTATCTGTAAAGAAGGAAGTCATCCCAGCATTCTGGTGCAAGGCCTTGGAGCTCTTCAAAAGGTGTGGGGAGAAGGGTGTTTTGCCTGGTGGAATAGGAATCAGGCCTAAGGCCCGGGAGGGAATCAGACCCAGTGGGGATGCTAAAAGGCCTATTGGGACCCAAGGCACAGGAAGTGGAACATGCGGTATTTTGGGGGTGCTTAAAATCCAATCTCAGAAGAAAAATAAATATTAAAACATAGAATTACAGAGTTGGAACGGACCTTGGAGGTCTTCTAGTCAAACTCCTTGCTCAAGCAGGAAACCCTATATCATTTCAGACAAAGGGATGGCCAGTCTCTTCTTTAAAGCCTCCAGTGATGGAGCACCCACAACTTCTGAAGGGAAGCTTTTTCCACTGGTTAACTGTTTCCACCGTTATGAAATTTCTCCTTAGCACCTTAGTTGAATTTGAACATACAAAAATGGAAAATAGACACATTTTATTTATTTATTTGCTGGTCAAATTTATGTAATTGCCCATCTCACCTGAAGGGACTCTGAGCTGCATATAATAAAATCAGGAATTAAAACATTTTGCAAACTTATTAAAACAATAGCAATACATAAAACAAGGCTATATGTAAGATATTACATACAATATAACCAGCATCCAGGATTCCTGCATATCCCTATATATTAAAAGGGTATTCTCAGGTTTGCTGGGGGGAAAAACATTTTAAAAGCTTTCCAGAAGCTCAGGAAGGATGATGTTTAAACCTAAACAGGTCTAACATTAAGAAAATAATGGTATATCAAATAGAGGTAACCCCTTTTCAATAATGAGAATCCTGGAAGGGTACAAGATAATAATATTTATAATATTAAAAGAGCTTTAAATCGGAACAGTCTGAATAATTTGGCTGCATCAAGACTAATTTTCAGTGTGCTATATGCACAGTTCATGCCAGTTCACAGATCATCCAGATAAAGTTGGCATTTTGTATTTTACTTTCTTATTTTTTTCTGACCAGAAATATTCTATTTTGATAGAATGACTGAAAACAAAACTGCAAATATGGTGTGGGTGTTCCATAGCACTTCACTCTCATAGATTTTATGAGGGTGGCTTTGATGAAAGCAGTGATATTTATTGACCTTTCTCCATTCTGTCCCCTAATTTGTTATGAGCAGACATAATTGTTTTGTAAATTACTCTTTCTCCCCTTTTTAAATTATTGTGAAAATCTAAGATTCCATAATTCCAAATTATAAAATAACATTTAAGAACAAAATGCACAACTCAGCTTGGTTTTTCACTTTTTGGTTTCATAATAGAAAAAGCACTGTATACCGTATGTGCAAATATAGAAGCTGTATCTGAAAGGAGCGTTTTAAAAATGCAATTGTTGCCCATAGTCCCATATATAATATTGATTCCGAAGAGGTGAAAGATTTGTGTTAACTATAATGTTCAATCATTCATTTTTAAAACCAATTCCTTTTTGAAACTTATTTGCTTTAGTTGTCCACATGAGGTTTGTCATAAGAGATTTCACGGCAAATATTTTAAAATTACATAATTAACATATATTCAGATATTATAACAAGCTTTTTTACTGTTACATCACATTTTTTTATTCCAGAACTTCATGTAAAACAATATTTTGCATATGCATGTATGCAACCTCCCTATCATATCTATGTACAAGAATCTTCTCAATTAACAGTTGGAATTAGATAAGGGTCAACAAAATTCAATGAAGTGAACTTAGTTTGCTTGTGACAACATAGGAATTTTAGGCTGATCCCTGTTTTAACTCTGGCCACAGGTTCTGGCACTCATTCTACTACACTCCATTCTCCCCCGAAAAAACCACAAAATAAAACAAAAACAAATATGTTTAACATCTGGTAAAGCCTATGCTGTAGACAGGACAAGTATGGTTTCTTTCTAATAAAAAATATGAGTGAGGGAAGGAAAGGGAAGGGAAGGGAAGGGAAGGAATTACTAGACAAACAACATCTTGTCTTCAGAATCTCAAATACCTTTTTAGAGATGACATTCATTCATGTATTAACATCTGTTTAATAGTTAATATAAGCTAAAAATCTGCTTTAACATGCAATCTTTAGGAGTAAGCACAGATGTTACATTTTATTTTGTAAAATGACTCTAAATGTATAGATTTCAATAAGAGCAAAACCAACAACTGAATAATATTGAATAACACATATAAAATCCATAATAAATCCTAAAAGGCATTGATTTGAAAATCTATACTGAGCAATCATTAGTCATTGTTCTTCAGTAGTGTAATTTCACTTCCTTTAAATATTTGCATATTAATAGAAAATTCTAGTTGCTCTCCTGTGGTGAGTGATAGCCAACCACTCCTCCTTCCTAGACCTCCTGTTTATTTTCAAACTCAGATTTGCCGTCACGAAGCCCAAAAGAAGCTTAAATGTTCCCAGCTGCACTAAAGTATAGCAGAACTGATATGAATAATGAACTTGTTATGCTACAAAACAAGTCTATTTGCTTTTTCACCATACGAGGTAAGATCATAGAAATTATAAGATATAAAATTCCCCCGCCCAAAAAAACCCTCCAAAATCAGGGAGGAAAGGAATCTATTTTAGAAGAATATATGATGCATGTATATATATTTCAGCTGTGGTAGAGATGTTTAAGGAATGTTCTTGCACGAATTACTATGCTATTTTATTTTTATTGTTGGTTTATTGTTATTTTGTTTTATTTATCAAATTGTATTCAAGCAATACAAAAAGCCTACAGTTTAGTTAGAACGATGTACTGTGCAGTTCATTATTTTATTCATTTGTTTAATTCAAAGTGAATTATAGAAAAAAGGATATTATTCTCCATGTATTAATGAATGTTATTCATTTTTGTTAACAGTATTAAAATATAATTTATCTGTTGTATATTTAAGAAAACACAATAAATAATAAACATAGTGAATTCCTTGCTAAGAATATAATAAAACAGTATACATACATGATAGAAACATTTAGAGAAATTTTATTTTGGATGGGAGATAGAGAAAATGGGGACTTATGATTATTTTATTAAACACTTTATTTGACTTAGATTATGTGCTTGCAGCCAAACACTGTATGGATTTCATAAACACCACTGTAAGAAATTTGTACTTGTACTAAACTCCTGAGAAAAACAGATTTATTTCAATTTTTTTTCTTAAGTAATTAAAAAAATATTGTAATAAGGTGAATAATATTGATATTTGAAATAAAAATGTATCATAATTTGTTTTTGTTTTTCTTCCAGCCTTTCAAATTCTTAAGGAGAAAAAGATAGATTTGCTTTGTATGTTGGCTTAATTTCATTCCTGCTTCAGTGAGCCGGTGTGGGATAATGCTTAGACTGTTGGGCTAGAACCAGAAGGTGCCAATTTCAAATTACTACTCTGCCACAGAGTTCTTAGGATGGTCATTTTCTCCTGTCTCTTTCATTTTGTCTCAATTAACATATCTTACAAGGTTTATGAAGCTGAAAAGGGAAAGAAGATCACCATAGATGTAATTAAATTTGGAAGATGATACATTCCAGAAATAGAATTACAGTCTTAAACAAATTCAGCATGTTAAATAATAGATTTATCCATTTGTCCTAATGGCTTTTTCAGTAGTTATCTCTATATTTATAGCAATCAAACTAAATCCCACATCAAAAAGTCAGTTCTGGGATAGGGGCTTCTTTTTGTTTTTTTCTAAAACTGTACGGAGAGACAATGTTGGGGGAAAAGGACAATATTGGATTAACTAAAATCTGCATAGAGAAATGACCTCTGAGTATTTGGGTCATTCTGACTGTTTCAAAAATAGACCAGTCTCAAAAGGGGTCCAGAACATTCCTCAAAATAGAACATTTGGCATACTAGTAGAAATGACTTTAAGATCTTCTATACCTTGTTTCACCAACTCCAATTCCCAACCAGGAAAGCAAGTAAATTGTTGATTTGGCACCTGGGACACTATAGACAGTGGTGGGATTCAAATTTTTTACTACCGGTTTTGTGGGGATGGCTTTGTGGGCGTGACATGGCATGGCTTTGTGGGCATGGCAGGCGAAGGATACTGTAAAATCTCCATTCCCTCCCAACTCCAGGGGAAGGTTACTGCAAAATCTCCATTTCCTCCTGATCAGCTGGGACTCAGTAGGCAGAGAATAGATGGGGGTGGGGCCAGTCAGAGGTGGTATTTATCGGTTTCTCCAAACTACTCAAAATTTCCACTACCAGTTCTCCAGAACTGGCCAGAACCTGCTGAATACTATCCCTGACTATAGAACAGTGCTTCTGAACTTTGACAATTTGAAGGTGTGTAGACTTCGACTCCTAGAATTTCCCAGGTAATCAAATTGACAAGGTTGAAAAACACTGCTGTAGAATAGAATCTCCATCTAACTTGATTGCACTGGCTTCTGCTGCTTGTTTCAGGGTAAAGTACTGAATAAATGGAATGGAATGTCTTTAAAAATAGATTTTAAAAAACCCAATTAAAGGACTAAGTCTTTCATTTGTGCTACATATTATTTTGCTGTAAAGTTCAAGTGAGGGAAAATCAGGAACGAAAGCTATTTAGGGGAGAATATCTTTACACATTGCAGTGAATGATTGTAGCTATGGAGAAAAGTGATATACAATAAATTGAACTCTAAAGATTAGAAATATACTTTTAAATACTTATTTTACAAACGTTCACTGTTAATTGATGTAGAGTGCTTTTTTTTTTCTTCTGTCCAATTGTGTCTGATTCTCAGTGACTGCTTGAATAAATCCCTACAGGTTTCTTGGAAAGGTTTTTCAGAACTAGTTTCCATTGCCTCCTTCCTAGAGCTGTGGAAAAGTGAGTGACCCAAGGTCACCCAAGCTGGCTTTGGGCATAAGGCAGGACTTAATCTTATGATCTCCCAGTTTCTAGCCTGATGTTTTAACCACTACTGGCTCCCTGCTTTATTTTAGAAAACCGTAATATAGATATGATGCAAAGGAAACAATTATTGACTTCAACCATAAGATTAAAACAGCAAGATAGATCTCAGAATGTTAGATTGATGCTGCTTTGGAATTAATACTTCCTGCATGGGCCTTCAGGCTATTCAATTATATATTAAACTTGTATTTTAAACCATTTTTAATAAAATGTGTTCATAAATCTTTAGAATGCTGCATTGTCCATAATTACTTCACACTAATATAGCAACTCCCTTGCTAGGTTGCTAGTAAAGTGCATAGATTATTCGATTTGTAAGATAAGGGGGAATCTCTTTCCTATGATCCAGTCTTTTTAAACAAAAAACAAAAAACCCTGAATTGTTCTGCATTTGGATCAGTAAGAGTAACTTTCTTTGCCAGGGTCATTCAAGTAATAATGAACTCATTATATTTATATTTCTGTCATACTCTAAATGTCATTTTGGGATCTAGCCTTGGGTTGATGCTCCATCCATGGGAATAGGGAAATAAGTGTATTAAATCTATTGACAGCGGCTTCTGCAGCTTACTATAAATATGCCAAATTCAAAAAGCTCCACAATTTTGGATTTGTACTGAGATCACAATATTGAGATGCATTTTTCATCTTTCTCTACCCTTATGGATACTATCTATCAAAGTCTACCAAAGAAAATACGTTTTACATTTAAATTGCTTCTCCAATCCTATCAATCAACAGAAATGCAAAGGAAGGGCAACAAATGTTCTCAATAAATGGTATCTTATCCTGCAAGGATTTACCTTATATGAGCAGTTCTCGGGACACAATGGTTCAGTGACCATTCTAAGTTACAGTGGCACTGAATGAGGGGGACTATTTACCAGTCCATAAAGTAGCAGACATTGCAGCATCCCCACAATCACATGATCACAATTTGGGCACTTGACAATTGGTTTACTGTTACAACAATTGCAGTGTCCCATGGTCACTGTAACCTTCCCTGCTGGCTTACTCCAATCAAAGTTAATTGAGAAACCAGCAAGAGGTTGAAAGACACTCCCACCCCCCCTGTTTTTTCCCTAACCATGCACATGCACACTTGCATGTGTTCCTAGGGCTTGCCTGCAGCACCTGCATACCCACATATACTCTGCAGCACCTGTCCATGGCACTCACCCCGCCCCATAATTCTCACCCGCAGCTCTCAGCCTCTGTCCAGCTTGCTTTGAACTTCCACTACTTCCCATTTAATGATCTTTGTGGTTCTGAGGATACCATGGCAACTGGGACTGATGGAATTGTCGTAACTGAGCAGAGCTATTACATGACATAGTGCTTTATGACTGAATTGCTTAGAGATGGAAATTTCATTCCCAGTTGTTATTGTAACCTGAACACTACCTGTAGATATAAATCAGTATTATTGTAACAGGCACAGTAGATCAGTATCCAGAAGAGTGGGATTCTGGGATATGTTTACTGATTACTGCTAGGAATTTCTTATTTTTGATTTAATTTTTCTAATATTTAATTTCATCAGATGGAACCCAACTGATTCCTTCTGAAGATTTGAATCACACTAATTGTAAATCTTAAGTTAATCTGTAAATTTCTGGATTAATAAATCCAGACTGATAAATTTTTGTATTATAATTATAAACTTAATCAGCAAATCCAAGACCAGCTAGAAATCTTAACGAATGAAGGTGAATATTCATGTTCCAGAATAATGTTGCAGGATCCAATCTGGGTCAGTCACGAGGACCAGAGGTTTAGTCTTCCGAGCTTTTGGACTCATGCTGGGGCCGATTCTCAGGGAAGATCTGCAAGAGAGAAGTTCCTTGAGGATAGGCTTCAGCACGATTTCAAAAGCTCGGAAAACTAAACCTCTGGTTCTGGTGACTGACCCAGATTGGATCCTGGAAATTTTAATTTTAGATATGTCACAGTACCATGTTTCTGTCGCCCATTAAGCTTTTAATAAAATTCCTGTTTAATAGCACAAAGGAGCTGAATCCTGGAGAAGTTAGTGGTAATTTTCTATCCACAAAAAGTTTTGAGAATTTGATTGTGTCTCTTTATCACTTTGTCCATCAGAGAAGATTAAGGATATGATTAGGTTTGCAATACAAAAACTTCAGTAATGCAGAACAAGAGCTTGAGGTTTCATTTATAAGAATCTTACTAGATATGCACATTCTGCTGAACAGTTTAAGCAGTTCATTTGCAATGACTATTGCAATGAATGTGCACAAAGAAATTACTTTATGGTATAATATACCTTGATATACTCAAAGAATCAGCTACAGCTTCCCTTGACCCTACACTGTTTCTGGGAGAGTTTGACAAGCTTGGATTTAGCATCAGAGTTCTTGAGAAAACTGAAAAGATTAAATGTTTGCATTGTAGGTTCCTCAAGATGAATGGTCTGGATATACTCCTCATGGCAAAGATGAAGAAATTCCTTGTCGGCGAATGCGTAGTGGCAGCTACATTAAAGCCATGGGAGACGATGACAGTGGGGACTCGGACACGAGCCCAAAGCCATCTCCAAAGATTGCTGCACGCAGAGAGAGCTATCTTAAGGCCACCCAGCCATCACTTACAGAGCTCACAACCCTCAAGTAAGTCTGTTTTAACAATAATTATTATAGGATACCAATTCAAAAAACCATCAGATGGTGAGATTTCTGGACCACCAATTATGGAAATGAGTAGGAGTGTGCCTGTGTTACCTGTGTGCCTATGTTATGATGTTGTCTAAGTTACAGTTTGGATAAATAATGTGTATTACATGCTATAGGTTGTTTTTGTGGTTTCCTGTTACATGAAAAGACAAATGCCCATGAAGCTCACCATCTATATCTGAGACTTTGTTCTACTCTCATTGCTATCAATTGGCATAGATATTGGATAAGATGGTAGGCATTCCCAAAAAGATTAATACTCATTTGCTGGAAATTCCTGTTAACTAGACTTGGCTATCCCTGACTTTTTTGCTTTTTCTGCAGAATAATGATGACAATTGCCTTTTTTTTAATGTTTCTGTTGAAATACATTGTTTAAATTGAAAATCATCTTTCTTTTTTGTTCATATATTAAAAACTTTAATTAATTTGGTTTTTATTAAAATTAAATCAATTTTTGTTTTAATACTGGTGATAGCAAATATTTTTGCTCAGACCAGACTAATAGATTACAAGGAATAGAGAGTAGATAGACATACTTTGTAACCAGTGGTGGGCTCCTGCTGGTTCGCATCGGTTCTCCCGAACTATATGTTAATTTTCTGAGCAGTTCGGAGAACCAGTTGTTGGAAGAAATATTTTCCACTTTACAGGGCTAATCCTGCAAGGGCGGCAGGAAGGAAAGATTCTAGTGTGCCTGTATTTCTGGTCTAATCCTTATCTTAATTGCCGCCCCTGCTGAGCTTTTCTGGAGTCATTGTTCCCCCCCACCCCCAGAGTTTTATGTGGTACTTTTATTCCTGGGGCTTGAACAGCTATTTATAGAAGGGTTGGCATAGCCGTAGAAGAAATGGCTGAGAGGCAGGATGCAAGCTTGGTATTCTGTCTGATTTTTTTTACTGCCTTTCTAAGGGCATATGATTTTTCCTTAAATCTGGATGATTACCTTAGGATATCTTGTGAGGTGAGTGAGACCAGCTGGTATCTTTAAGTGGTGCAAATGGATCTAATGATTGCTTCTCCTAGGTGCTTTGTCAGTTCACTGAGCACAGGAGTCTCTTGTCTATGGGGATTCTTCAGTCATCCAGGTCATGGTTGTCCCAAAGGTGCTTTTTTCAAGAGGCAACTGGACTTTCTTGGTTTCCAGAAAGTCCAGTTTCCTCTTGAAAAAGCACCTTTGGGACAGGAGTCTCTTGCATTGCTTCAGAGTGGCCAAACTACATGATTGCTCACTGATAAGTGGATCCTCCTTCCAATTTGTTTTAGTTTTCTCTCATGATAGTGTAGCATAGTAACATGGCACCTCTCCTAGAAGAATTAAATATTTTGAGAAATATTAAAAAGGAATAATATATTTCCCTGGATGAGAAATGGAGAAACGTGTTTTCTTAGAGGGAGAAAGCAGCCCCCACCTTCCTTAATAGCCCACGGAAGATGTCAGCATATAAAGAGATAGATAGCTATATTCATAGGCAAAAATTCCCTGCAGCAAGGTCTGAACAAAGACAGAATGGGATTAGTCCTCACTCAAGATATTAATTTGTTCATTTGTCTCTTTAGCTAGGCATTTAGTAGCCCAAATATGCCCACCCACTTTCTGAAGAGTTTAAATGACCTCTCTGCTAAAGAGTTTCACTTTATGAGCAAGAGTTGGCTGGATTTTAACTATTTTAATTTCTCAATGTGCTCTGCACCCTGCCTGATTTGTAACCCTGGGTTGCAGGTATTGCTGAGGAAAAGGAAAGTATTCAGACAGAATGGTTTAGCTTTCCTTGTCAGCTGTGACTCACTGATCTTCAGTGTATATTCCCCCATTTCTAATCTAATGATTGGAATGTAGGGCAGCTTTTTGCAAGCAAAGAAGCTTTTTTGTATTTTTGTACAGGTAATCCTTGATTTACAACAGTTCATTTAGTGATCATTCAAAGTTACAATGGCACCGAAAAAATTGACTTATTAGTGTTTTTCACACTTATGACTGTTGCAGCATCCCCATAGTCACGAGAGGCCAGGCAAGGCTAAGTGCCCCTTGACATGAATGACATCAAGTTGGTCACGCCCACTTAGTCTCATGACCACCCAGCTACGCCTACCCAGCCAGCAGTGGTGAAAATAAAAATATTTCCCTACCAGTTCTGTGGGCATGGCTGGGGGGGGGGGCAGGTGTCCTGTGACTGAGTGGGCTTAGCCAACTCGTCGTCACTCATAGCCACGGCCACTCAGTCACATGACCTCCACCATCACGCCACACCCATAGAATCCGGTAGGAAAATTTTTTTCAATTCTATTCTGCCTATTTTCCCCTGTTGTGAGATGTTTGCAGCTGCAGCTTCTTTTTTTGGTGCTCCTGGAGATGCTTCTTGTGCGAAAGATGCAGCGGCTGCAGGCTTCTTGTAGCGAAAGTTACCGGAGCCGCTCCCCTTCTTAAATGCACCACCGCCATCGCTGCCCTATTCCATGCGCCGGCAGCACATGTGCACAAAGTTGCCTGCTGCTGCTGAATGACAACAGCTGACACATGGAACAGGACGACGATGGCGGCAGCGTGTTTAAGAAGGGGAGTGGCTCCAATACCTTTTGCTACAAGAAGCCTGCAGCCGCTGCGTCTTTCATCATAAGAAGTGCCTCCAGGCACACTGAAAAAAAGAGGCTGCGGTTGCAGGCATCTCGCAACAAGGGGGGACAAGATGCGGGTTGGCGGGGAGCCCAGGGGTGACAGTTCAGCCCTGTCTTGCCTTCCCTGGCAGCCAGCTGTAGGAGGAGGGTTAAGACGCATCACATGGTGAAGGGAGAGCGGGCAGTGGGTGGTGAGTGGGCAGTGGATCCAGGGCAAGGCCGGAGCCAGGGAATGATTCATTCCCCAACCTGGTCGAGGTGGGCAGCGAGTGTGCGGCAGCTCTAGGGCAAGGCCGGAGCCAGGGAATGATGCATTCCTTGACCTAGTCAAGGCAGGCGGTGAGCGGGCAGTGGCTCTAGGGCAAGGCCAGAGCCAGGGAATTATGCATTCCCTGACCTGGTCAAGGCGGGCAGTGAGCAGGCGGTGGCTCTAGGGCAAGGCTGGAGCCAGGGAATGGTGCATTCCCCTGACCTGGTCAAGGCAAGTGGTGAGTGGGTGGCGGCTCTGGGGCCTCAGGAAATCGCATGGTCCTGGGCCCTGGGCCCAACCTAAAGCAAAGGGCGAGCGGGTGGCATACATTGCTTACCTTTGGTGAGCTGAGAGGCAAGGCGACTGGTGAGGCAAGTAGCTGGGCCATGTGGCGAAGGGAACTTATATAGGGCGGGAGTGGGTGTTGGGCTGAGCAGCCGGAAGCACTGAGTGGCTGGAAGGGGCAAGCGAGCCGGTAGAGGCGAGCGAGGGCCACCAGGGGATGATTGCTACCGGTTCGGTGAACCGATGCCAATCATCACTTCTGGTTCACCTGAACTGGTCTGAACCGGTAGGATTTCACCCCTGCCAGACGGTCATTAGGGCAGAGAACAGATTGTTAAATTATTTGAAGCCCACCACTGTTTCTAACCTTTAAAATCGTAAATTCATATTCAATTCCTGTTTCTGTATCAGCATTATTTTTTATTTTTTTAAAGCATTCCAAATTACCCACTTGAAAAGTCATGCAATTTTAACTCTTCCAATACCAATTTTGGAGCACATTTTTGTAATTATGCCATTTTTAATATATATTTTTCAAAAAGCATTCCTCATTTTTGCAAGTAATTTTATTTAATATAAGTTTATTGCATATTTTTCAGTTTTTTAATTTAACAATAACAGAGTTGAAAGGGACCTTGGAGGTCATCTAGTCCAACCCCCTGCTCACGCAGGAGACCTATACTAGGGATTTGAACCACTGAACTGCCGACCTTTCTGATCGACAAGCTCAGCGCCTTAGCCACTGAGCCACCTGCATTGCAAAATTTTTAGAAGTCCAGATTCTTAGTACATACTGTATATAGATCTAGGAAATGAAAATGCATTTAATTTAATTAATTTAAAATTAAATCAATATTATAATGAAGTAAATTAATTTCCCTTAACTGTCTAACCTTGCCTAGTGGTTGTATCAGTCTTGTCTCTTGTCCACATCAAAACATTCTACCCATCCTTGCAGAGTTTGCAAAATCATCTTAGAAGGCTAGAATTAATCATCTTGGCAAATAAGATCATTTCAAATGTCCAGCAAAGATGTAAAAATCTTGTACTACTGAAGTACTAGATCTGTTAAATAGAAGTTTGATCTGTATTTTATGAATCAGAACACTCTTTAACCAGTATGGATTTATTTCCATTTACTTAAACTGCCTCCGATTTTTCAATCTCAGGTAATAACCCAAAACTGACTGCATTAAAAAGACACTGCAACATAATTTCTGTAGGGTTTAAGGCAAGAATGAACAAATTTATGTATTCTCGTCTTATGACTACATTTTCCCTTTACTGCATGAAATATTGCTGCATTTCAGATTTCCAGTACTAGACATTCCCAATATTTTCCAATACTAGACATATCATATAAATCATACTTTTTTGGAAAATGATAAGAAGGCAGAGTATTTCACTATCCACAGTGCTTTTTATTTGAGTATAAAATCAGAGCTGCATTGTGGTCACATTACATAAGCAAAAATACTTTCTGATTTCTTTTAATATATTTTCTCCTTAGCCCACCTCACAATCTCCCTCCTACAATCTGTTCCCCATGCCATGGTTTCCATGTGGTTACAGAACACTTTTTGAACATTATAGTTAAAATTCTGAATAAAACACAGCTTGCTGTGATCATGAAATCACACCTCCGCTCTTTTACTCCCATTATCCTACTAGGAAGTGAGAAGCTGTTGTTATTTTTTCCTTCAGATGGCAATGTTTGCTGGGAAGGGAGGAGGGGAATAAAAATAATTATCAGGCAAATAAAACTGTTCTGATTAAATTGATTCTT